TGTTATTGTGAGTCAACTATAAAAGATAGACATATGCTGTCGAGGAATATTTTTTATATAATTTTAAGGAGAATATTTCCGTCATATATGATTTCTATGCAGCTTTAACCTATAAGCCTGCACACGCGACGGAAGCTTAAAAAATGGAGTAACTTCTCCCGTTTTCCCAATATTTCCCTTCACTGCTCTGCTCCTTTTGATCGTAGCGTAATGAAAAGTACACTATAACCTGCCCAAGAGTATGAAGAATAATTGTGCCAAATTTCGTTAAAATCCATCGAGTAGTTTTTGTTTCCATAACGAACATACAGACAGACAGACAGACAAAAATTTTACTGATTGCATTTTTGGCATCAGTAGCGATCCCTAACCACCCTTGATAGTTATTTTTTAAATATATTGTATGTACAGAATTGACCTCTCTACAGATTTATTATAAGTATAGATTAAATATAGCACAGAGGTTGGAATTGTGTCTGGTTTGTAGTAAAATAAACTCTTAATATCATAAAGACAAGTCTGCTATTTCCATGCACTGGAAAGGGAAATATCTTTTTCTTCATTCTATCTCCTACTCCTATGACGTCATGAATCTATCACTGAGGTTAAAGACGCTCTGACGTTAAGAACCACAACAAAAGAAATACGTGGACACCCAACAAAAAGTAACACGATCTTCTTCATTATAAGGTTATTGCACTTATAACCTAGTTTCGATACATAGTGTATCCTAGGTATTGTTTGAACGAGGTTCAGACCAGCACATTAACCTCTGTCCAGTTTATCTATGATACATTCTTTTAACAATATTATGTGGTATTTGGTACGTTGTTATCGTTATTTTGATTGCCTGCTACCTTTACGGGGTTTCAGCTGCTGCTCGGCTCCTATTGGTCACAGCGTGATGTTTTATAGCCTATAGCCTTCCTCGATAAATGCACTATCCAACACAAAAATAATTATTTAAATTGGACCAGTAGTTCCTGAGATAAGCGCTGTCAAATAAACAAACATAATAATATAACATAACATCACGCCTTTTATTCCCGAAGGGGTAGGCACTATACAATGTAACACCCGCTTTTCACTATTTATGTTATGAGTCCCATGTCCTCTGTATGATGGCAATAGGCTCAACCCCTATTAACCCTATTGTGTCCGATGTATGGATATCGGGCATAATTCCAGACTCCATGCTACTACTGACAATTACTTTGCCCGACCTGGGAATCGAACACTTGCTACCATCCGGCCAACGAGGCAGTCAAACAAACAAACACTTCATCTAAAATATACAATAAAGTAACATATATTCACTTAACTTCTATTTACTTTATGCATTCTCTTTTGTAGTTTTGCACCTACCACTTTATCGTTCTGCACCCAATGGCTGACTGTCAGATAATGCATAGGCATTTGGCATAGGCCAATTTCACAATTCACGTGCAATAACGTTTTTAAATAAATAAGTAAATAAAAATGTGAAAGAAACAGGACCCTTCCCTGTTTTGTGTACATAGGTGATCGGTGCTTAACGGGTGAACATTGCTAGACTAAAGGTAATATCAGCTTTTTTACAATCACGAAAATTCCTAGTCGGCACATCTCTTAACATGCTTGTATAGGATACTTTTTCAATGATAACTAATACCGAACCAGAAAAAGCGCAAAATGAGCACATAAGTAAAAGTATCAAACATGCAACAGGCGTAGAAAATGATGACGTCGCCACAAGGTAGTACGAAAGAAACCCAATAGATGGCGTTGAGCAACCGTAGCTTACCGCCCCCGAGTTTATAGATCCATAAATATGCTAATACAGGCATGACTTTTTTATAACTTAATTAATAACGTGTTTGCCTGACGGTCGCAGTCGGGATTATGATTTAGAACATTTTATGTGGTACAATTTAATTGATGTTCAGTTCTCGCGTGCCTAGCGTTGTCGTCACATACAGTTTATGACCGATATTAAAAAATGAAAAATACCAACACTCTTTTATACCCTGTGTGATTTAGTACTGAATGTTAATGAATGTTGCTTATAAGTGAAATTGTAATCATAATGGATGAGTAATTAATATGTTTTGTCGTTGTTCTATAGTGCTGCGTGATGATCTCGATTTGTTAGCTTTGTTTGAAGTTTAATGCCTTAAATATACTTAGTTATTCGTTATTAAATTAATTTATTGCCCATTAATTCAGCCGTCTGTCGTTTGTTTATGTTGCGACCTTTCGACAATGGGATACTTGATGGCATTTCGAACAAGTCAACTTAGTCTTAATGCTAATAATATAATTAAATAAAAAAAGTTTGTTGATGTGTTCATTGCATCCTATAGAGTTGTAAATTAACATAGTTTAATATTGATGATAGGAAACCTACTACCTACTATTTATTTATCATCGTTGTCATCAGCCTACAGATGACAGTTTATTATAGAAAACTGACGTGAAACAACGCTTGCGTTGTGTTTCGTCGTATGAGTGAGGTTACCGGAGGCCCAATTACCCTCATCCCCGAATCCCCAATAATCCTTAAATCCCTATTACCCAAAAGGCCGGTAACGCATTTGCAATGTTATTGGTGTTTCAGGTGTCCATGTGCGGCGCCGATTGCTTACCCTCAGATGATCCGTCTGCTTGTTTACCGTTTACCGGAAGTAAACTGAAGTATCGATGGACCTCGTGAAGTATCTACTAAAGTATCTATGAGCGTGGAGATTTGAGGTTCGCTCTAATCTACTCGCTTGGTAGGCTGGTTAAGGTCTATTAGAGAAAGCTCTGCCTCTTTTAATTGAGTCGTAACTAAATCAGGTCTTACAATACCCGTAGAAGTGGGTATAAAATTATTACCGTCACTACATGACTGTCAATCCATCCATCTACCATATTGTTAAAGGTACAAGCCCGCTACAACCTCCCAAAATCGCTGCAACTCCTGTCAGCCAGGATCTACAGTAGATACAACCATGAAAACACTGGAACACTGACGTCCGGCGCATCCCAGGGACATGAATAACTGTCTTGGTTCCCGCGACGAAGTGAATCATAAGATAATATAAGAGGAGAAGAAAAAAACACTATAACTACCATCTACCATATTATTAACTAGCTTCTGTCCGCCTCTTCACGCGCGTCCCCGCGGTATAAAAGTACCCTATGTGTTATTCCAGACCATAACCTATCCGTGTGTTCCAAATTTCATTCCGATCCCTTCAGCCATTTCGATGTGATTGTGTCATAAACATACACACGAAAACACAAACTTTCGCAATTAACTTTAATTTCTTTAAATAACATAAAATCACGCCTTTTATCTCCGAAGGGGTAGACAGAGGTGCACACAGAAGTAACAACCACTTTTCACTATTTATGTTATGAGTCCCATGTAATAGGGGGTGAGCCTATTGCCATATACCGGACACAATTCCAGACTCCGTGCTACTACTGAGATTTTTTTTAAAACCCAGTAATACTTTGCCCGACCCGGGAATCGAACCCAAGACCCCTTGCCGGCAGTCGCACACAAGTCAACAACAGAACTTTCGCAATTATGATATTAGTAAGAGACACTAAAGGGTATTGGAACACCAACGAACATTTTAAAAATAAAAACCTTTAAAATCAAAGGAATCTCTCAAATTATTCTTCTATCCCTTTGTAACATTCACACGTCAGCTTGCCCTATGTAAAACTAAACTGTTTGTTAAAAAAAGTTGTGTGTTTTACAAATAAGCTGAGTGGATGCTCCTGCGCAGCCCGCAGGCCTCACACGTTACTGATACGATCTCTTTCTATCTCGCTCTTACTCATACAAACGCCATTATAGTAAGTGAAACGAAAAATCACGGATGCTTCTAGCTTTTACTATGAAATCGATTTTGAAATATTTGTTTTCTTGGGGTGAAGGTAGTGTGTATGTTATAGAATGGTTATATTGCGGTTATACGAATGCGTGTTATATCTTTATTATGTAGGTAGAATAGAATAGAAACGAAACCTTGTTAAAAGGTAATGTATGAAATTGACAATGACATTCGACAAATTAAATTGAACCTTATGATATGCCTTTACATTTTCTTTTTATTTTTATTATCATCATCATCATCATCAGTCGAAAGAGGTCCACTGCTGGAGAAAATCATCCCCTCTCACCCTTAATTCTCCAAGTTGAACGACCACTTGCTATGTACCTATAATCACTGGCTCTCCGCGATTCTGGTGATATCGTATGCCCAACAAGTGGGAGGTCTGCGATTTTCACCATCGACTTATCTAGTTCATGATTTTCACTTATTTGACTAGTATTTTTATGCCATTTGTATTTGTGTCCTTATTAAATAGGACCCAAAATAAGTGAAATAGTATGTTACAATCATATTCTCATATAGATATTATTATAAACATAACTCCTTTTTCGCGTCTTCTGAAACTCGGAAAGGGTCGGACTAATATTTGTGCGGTATTCATCAATAGATGCTGTGATTTTTCAGGTATAATTGTGTAATGATTTTAAACACGCAGGTGAAGCCACGGGCGGAAAGCTAATGTGGGCTAACAAATTGGAAGAAATAGAGTAAAAAGCAGTGCAGTATTGTACATGAAATGCAATGTAAATTGTTGTTTCTTTGACCAGGTTGTTTCCTAGTGAAGCCATATGCAAATTTCCTTTGTCACAACAGAAAAATGTTTTACCACAAACATTTTTGTTTAATAGTGATTCGTTTTTAAAAGACTTAAAAAATGGACAAAGTTCGTCACTTTGTTTGTGTGTATATGTTTTAAAGTAATTTCGGACAAAGTATAGAGGACTTTTAAGGGCGGCTAACGAATGTACTTCACCCCTACTTCTGCTACGGAGCGTCGTAAGAATCGACTGACGACCAAAATACACGGTTGGCGCGGTGGTTAGGCAACTGACTGCCGCGCAACGTGATGCGGGTTCGTTTCCCGCACGGAACAACTCTTTGTGTGATCCACAGATTGTTGTTTCGGGTCTGAGTGTCATGTGTATGTGAATTTGTATGTTTATAAACGCACCCACGACACAGGAGAAAATGTTATTGTGGAGCAACGGTTTTAAAAAAAAAAAAATTAATGCCTTCCAGGTCGTTTATTTTGTGATCTTTAAGTAACCTATACTTAACTTCTCAGAGGATATCGAGCGAAACAAGATGATGATGTGCAGGGCTGATGACTCGGTTGACGTGTGACCAACAAAACATGGTGTCAGAAGTCACTCACGAACCAGAACGTCCGTAAGAAGAAATAAAACAATGAATAAAGAAAAACCAAAAACAAGAAACACGTACAGATATATTATTCTATTAGTAGAAACTGATGGACATACGTTCAATATCGCTTTTTATTTTGCGAAGTAGTAGACGATAAAATAAACTTCTTGAACAAGGAACTTATCCGTTTTTTTTAAGAGGGGAAAATCATCGAATGACTGCTCCCGCCTGGGTGAGGTGGGAGGGAGTGTCAGACTCTTACTGACTAAAACCACCCCGTTCCTACTCCTGCCCTTCAAACCAGAGCCTCGAAAACCCGTTAAGTCTTCTATGAATACATAATTTCATTCGCACTTATATTATTAAACAAATTGAAAGTTAACTACTGCCTGTTTCGTTGGCCGAGGGTCTTGGGTTCGATTCCCGGGTCAGGCAAAGTATTATTGGGTTAGTAAAAATTCTCAGTAGTAAACTGGAAATATGCTCGATGTATGAAAATAGGCTCACCCTCTATTACATGGGACTCTTAACACGTATAGTGAAAAGTGAGTGATATATTGTACAGTGGCATTGCCGTAATGTACTGTAATGTACGTGTGTGACTCGCCCTATATGTAAGTAGCGTATGGTAGTTATTAAGACACATAATTAAAGTTATTCCTAACAACAACACGTCTCCCTCATTGCTCCACATAGCTCTGCCTACCCCTTCGGGGGTAAAAGGCGTGATGTTGTGTGTTGAAAGTTAAATAACTTTAACCCAACCTAACTAGGAACTCCGAGATGTATGTAGTCGCGCTACAAGCCATTCGTTCTTCTGGCTCCGTTGGTCGAACCAGACAAATTCTCATTAAAAAGTTAAAGTGACATTGGATTTTTTATTATTTTTTGATTTCAACAACAGCATGGAGTCTGGAATTTTGTATATGTCAATAGCCTTATTCTGCATTACAAGGGGGTAAAGATGTCGCGGAGAACCTAACAGGTAACCGGGGCTCCAGCTCGACGTGCAGGAGAAGGAACGGGTTGGTTTTTAGTCAGTAAGAGTCTGACTCCCTTCCGGCTCACCCAGGCGGGAGCAGTTATTCGATGATTTTCCCCCCTTAAAAGAAGGGGTAAAGATATGCCTGTTCTTTAGTTGTCGAAATTTACAGAAAATAATGTTTTACACACACATATTTGCGTGTCTATATATTTCGCAAAAATGTAAAGCTAGTATCCATTGTTTGACATAGTAGCCCGCAACCCATGTTTGTGTACTGATTGTTGTCTATTCCGACGGTGTAGCCCGGTTCTTTCATATTCCGCCCCAATTGGTTACACGTTTGTAGATCTAACTTAGGTAAACTAAACACACAAATGAAACTGCTATGTTTCTCGAATTTGAACAACTTTTGTGAATTACGTACTGACTAGTTTCTGCCAGTGACTTCGCCCGCGTTTACGTCGGACAAAAAGGACGATACGCAAAATTGATCAAAGATTATAGTCAAATGGGAAATAGTACCTACCTAAATGCATCCGTAATTTCTTATCAAATTTGTCGGTATGCATATGTGAGAACCATGTTAGGCTATATTTTCTTTTATTTTATTAAGTTTTGTAATTAGTATAATGCGTCAAGTGTGTCTTTGCATTGTTCTCACATATACGTACAGTACAATATGTATCAGAGACATTGTAGAACATACTTTTTTTAAAAGAGTATCGAATGGAGTTTCTTGCTCGTACTTCTCCATTCGAATTTACATTTTGAATGAACACCTAGCTTCACCTAGCTTCAGTGACGAACTGACTGACAGACTATTATTTATTTTGCATTTGTTGACGTTTCAAAAGTACCAAAATATGGTTTAATTGAAATAAATGCTTTGACTTTGACTTTAATAAAAATACGCTCAAATACACAATCCATGGACATTTAATCACAGACTGACTTTACGCCAATTTAATAACACACAACGCAACAAAAGTTAAAATAATAAAAGTTTTATTAATTGTAAATTGTGTGGTCATTGTTTATAGTGTGACCTATGCGACGTGACCGCGTAGGTAGTCCCCAAAAACCTTCGTTGCCGGGTGGTCCGACCAGCCCTTTACACATTTCTATTATTAACTATTTGTACAGAGCCAAAACTATTATAATATTTGTACTATATACTTACACCATGAATTTTTTTACCTCTACCATAGAGATAGGAAATATGAGGAACCGTTTATAATAATTGTGTATTATTGGTGTTTAATAGTATTGTGTTAAAGGTGAAAGTGTCTAAATGATTACTTATTTTATGGTATCGGAGGCGTTGTCAATATGAAGTCTAAACAATAGGGTCTAAGGTATCAGATACGTAGGAGCAAGAAATATTATATCCAAACAAACAATGCTACAAATAAGCCAATCAAAACATTTCAGTAAAAATATCGCTGGTATATCTTGAAGGCTTCTCTTTTAACTTGAAACTTTGTTTATACTAACAGACTAAGCTTAGATCAAGTTAGACAAAACATCGCGTCGTCGGTGGAAAACTCTTAAACAATAACATGGACAGTGCACCTACACTGAAAGTCACTAAAACTGATTATAAGAAAGCTTTTAAAAAATCAACAGGGTTTCTTTCGGGCACGATAGCTGCATAACCAATTCAGACGTGGTCGAATAAACTCAATATTCTCATAAGCCCGTAAAACATCGCAGGAAATTCCCGAAAATATTGCTAGAATTTAAGGCTATTGTTAAAAGTTTCAAGTTGGTTTTTTGTGGATCCGTGTCACGTCTAGTAGCGGACTAGGTCTGGGGCCGCATGCGTACTCTATTTGTTTGTAGTCCACGAAGGGCCCTTGTATATTTTATATTGCCCCTGTCCAAACACTGGCGACTGGTTTCCTAGAACGACTTTATGTTACCATTGCCTTGTGTAACAGTCTTTTGTCTTTGATAGCTCGCATTTTGTTTGTTATCTCTGCCGCGAAAGGGTTATCGCGCTTTCGAGTGGGTGTAGTAGCTTCAAAAAGATGTTCTGTGCAGTTGAAGTATCATGACCGCAATTGGTCTCGGTAAAGAACAGCTTTATTAGAAAACACAGTTCACCATCTTCATTTCAAGGAAAGAATGTAACTTGTTTGGAATTTGTTTTGTTTACACTTAGGTCGGGGTGTCCGACCACTTAAATCTCAATTCAGGGTAATTTGGATATCAGTCTGTCACTTTCTTTGTTGTTGAATGTGAACAGAGAATGGTGTTTATATTAGCTAATTAGTTCGATAGATGTTTTCTTCGGCTTGTCTCAGTTTTATTAAGCCTACGTGTTGTGATGTTTATTTTGGATAATGGTTATTCGGTATTTTTTAAATAATTCGATTGGATTAAATACTTACTTTCGCCTTTAAGAAGCATAACATATGTACGTCAAAAATTTAGGTATATCATCACAATGCCAAATTATTGCTTCGAATCTTGTTTTCATTATAATAGTACTGAGGTGCGCTAATTTTGTTGTTAAATAAAATAAAACTAAGATGCCTGGGGTGAGGTGTTAAAAATTTTAGGAGACACATAAAAAGCATTTCGACATAAGCAAATTTTTCGTCGAATGCAAGCAAAGTTTGTTATTGTCGCGTTGCGGCTGTTGCGTGAAAACGCGTCCGATCGTCGCGAGTTGTTGGGTTACCACTTGTAAAAAGTATTTTTCCAAATGATATTGTTTCGAAAGGGTAATATTTAGGAACGGTAAAGTTTAAAATTTATTTTTTGTATACATATGTGAGTTTGCAACTTTGTGTTTATATTAAGTTGGAACATTCCACGTATGCATTTGTTTTGGGGATTTTCTTTGTCTATCGAATTTTACACAAAATAATAGACTGTATGACAGTACTGATGTCACCATTCCACTGTGTATAAGCCATGACCATTTCATCTGGGTTAAGGTCTAGTCTAGGTCCAGTTGGAACAGTGCATACGCTGAGCTCAATCTTATAGTCCATTATTCAATTTATGTTTTCCTGTTCGAATTCAAGGCAATTATTGTTAAGATGCAGCGAGATTTGAAGGATGGGCGACAGTGTAAGGAATCTGCTACTGGCACTAAAGGGTAAAATACATCATTTTTTGAAAGACGTTTTAGTGTAGATCAATCCTTACGATACTTAAGTCCTTGGCTGGAGGACTTGAGGGAGTATCGTAAGGATTAACTTCGATTATTTTATAGGACAAGCCGGTAAACGAGCTGACGGATCACCTGATGATAAGCAATCGGTGTTACGCACAACGAATGATGTGCTAAGTACAGTGCGCTACGTGCTTCGCACATTCCTCAACCTGCTACGAACTACGCGCAACGCACTACGCTAGATGCGCTACGTGCTACGCCCATTGCGATATCTGTTACCTACTACGAACTAATTGCTACGCGCTGCGTATAGTGCGCGACGACGGGTCATAGGCTAAGCTTTCCGAAGTGTGCGCTACGTGCTACGAGCTATGCAGTACGCGCTACGCTACGTCTTGGCAATATTTAAAATGACAAAGTTTTGTATGGGATATAATTTCACAAAATCTTATGTTATCACCACCTTTAAAACAGTAGTTCTATGTAAATTCAAATTAATATTTATTAATAAAAAAGTATCTACTATATAAATCAAATCAAAATACGGTACGGTACATTGATGTCAACGATCTCTTCAATATAGATCACCACAGTTCATTGCACAGAATGTAGTGTCCATTGTAGTATAATAGTAGAATCTGTGTGACGCACTACGTATTGTCTGAAACTGTCCATTAACGGAGAAAAATGAACACCCTATAACTATATCCTTACGGTGCATTCACGCCTCTCGATGA